CCAGGGCTGCCCTCCAGAGTCGCCTGAGGAGCTGGGGAAAAGGCTTGGCCCGCCAGGCAGTATCGCCCACTGGCTAAGAGAAAGACCCTGCTGAGGCCAGGCTAAGTGGGCGGCATCCTGGCCCAGCCACACACTCGCAGTGTGACGTGGGGCAAGTCCCTTAACTTCTCTGTGTGTCAGCCCTGCTTCTGATCAGGGAGCTCATCAGAGTGGCTACTTCACGGGATTATTCCAAGGCGCCAGTGTGCTAACTCACGTCAGTGCTCCCAACATAGGCAGAGCTTTATCAGAGCAAACGTACTGTGCTTTGTGTCAAAGGAAATTCAGGTACATCACATGGATTAACTCGCAGGGGCATAGGCCAGGAACACAAGAGTATGCTGTGTGCACCACCACCCCTACACACACACACACAGGTAAAGGTATATTCAAGTGGCACTCGGAGGGCTGGCTTTGTGGCACAGCGGGTTAAGCCACTGCCTGCCATGCCAGGATCCCATATTAGAATGCTGGTTCAAGTCTGGGTTGCTCGGCTTCTGATCCAGCTCCCTGCTAATGCCCCTGAGAAAGCAGAGGAAGATGGCGCAAGTGCTCGGGCCCCTGTACTTTGGCCTGGACCAGCCCCAGCTGTTTGCAGGCATCTGGGGGAGTGAACCAGTGGATAGAAGATCTTTCTTTGGCCGGTGCCGCAGCTCACTAGGCTAATCCTCCGCCTGTGGCGCCGACACCCTGGGTTCTATTCCCGGTCGGGGTGCCGGATTCTGTCCCAGTTGCTCCTCTTCCAGTCCAGCTCTCTGCTGTGGCCCGGAAGGCAGTGGAGGATGGCCCAAGTGCTTGGGCCCTGCACCCGTATGGGAGACCAGGAGGAAGCACCTGGCTCCTGGCTTCGGATCGGCGCAGCGCGCCGGCTGTAACAGCCATTTGGGGGGTGAACCAATGGAAGGAAGACCTTTCTCTTTCTCTCTCTCTCTCTCTCTCTCTCACTGTCTATAGCTCTCTGTCTCTCTCTCTCTCACTGTCTAGCTCTGCCTGGCCCAAAAAAAAAAAAAAAAAAGATCTTTCTGTGTGTGTGTGTGTGTGTGTGTGTGTGCGCACCTCTCTCTCTCTCACTCTGCTTTTCAAATAAATATTTTTTAAATGACATCCCATGTTGGCCTCTCTGAGCCTGGCAGCGAGAGGGTGGACAGTGGATGGGACAGGGAGGGACAGCAGATGAGCTCCGGTTTCTCCCAGCCCAGAGAAAGAGTCGGCTGCGTATTTTGCTGTCTTTCTGTTGAGAGTCTACTCAGGAAGTGTTTTTAAGGAGCCTTTTGGATTCTCTGACACCCTTTCGGCCCTGCTAGATTCCAGTGTTCCCCGGGCACCTGGGACAGCTCAGGTTGGACGGGGATTGGCGGACCGCATAGACAGCGAGTAGGGGGGACAAAGGGATGACCAGGGGTCTCACGTGCCAGCCAGGGCTGTGCGGCCAAGCTGTGGCCCAGCGCCGTGAGTGGCTGCACCTGTGAGCCCTGTGGAGCCCAGTCATTTTGTTGCCAACTCACGAGGGCAGGGACCTATATTCCGAGTTTCCGTTCTCTCTCGCTTGGCCCTACCGGGATCCTGGGCCTGAAATAGGCCCTCCGTCAATCCGCTGTGGAATTAAACCGCAGCCGTCGCCAGCGGGGGTATCATTCTTCGCAGTTCACCTCTAAGACACCCTGAAGATGCCGCGTGCGTGTGCCCTGACCCCCTCGTGTCTGCCAAGGACCGAGGACGATGGCAGCGGCCCCGCCCGCCCCTCACTGTCCAGAGACCTCACCCAAACTCTGCTCTGTGTCACTGACAGGAAGGGCAAGAGCTCCGCGGGGCAGGGCTCGGGGACAGGGCTGGGGGCCCTTTCCTCTGCCGTGGCTAACTGGCAAAGGCACGGAGCCCCGTGACCAGCCCCGCTCTCTTGGTTTGAAATGGTTGAGAAGTTAGCCTTCCAAACCTCAGTTTTATCATCTCAGAAGTGGGTACAACAATGACATTGTGACACACTTGGCCAGCTGACTGGTGTCGTTGCTTCGATATTTCATTTGTGAAGCCGCAGAAAGCATTCTGTCCGCCTCCATCCAGTCTGGGGCGGGCTCCCGGCCCTCGATCGCCCTGCTTGTCTGAAATACTCGCTCTGTTCCCTAGACTCGGTGTTGTCTTCCACATGCTGCCTGCTTGTGTCCAGCCATTCTCGGGGTTTCATCCCAAGTCCCACTGTTGTGCTGCGAGTGGTGGATAGTGGGAGACGTGTCCGTTTAACAGCCTGATTCTCAGCAAATAATACAACCAGTCTCTGATCGTGGGATCCAAGCAGGCTGTCCGAATCAGAGGCCTCAGCAGACGCGTGTCTGAGACACGAACCCGGGTCCGGTTTCCCCGACGCGTGCCTGGGGCTCTGGCAGCCCCGCCCTGGGTTCCGAATCGTTTCTTTCACCGATAGACGCCTTGAGAAGGGGTGCCGGGGCCGAGGGAAGTGCCGGCCCAGCTGATCCTGCCGGGGGAGGGCCAAGACTTGCATAAGTGAAACAGCCAGAGGAAGGTGTATTTGAAATGCTTTGTAAAAGCCAGCTCCTTTCTGGTTCCCAGATTTGCAGACAGCAAGGACAGGCAGCAGACAGGAGAAAGAGGAGGTTGGACCTGGCAAACAGGGGTGAGGGAGAGCTCAGGGCCAGGGGGATTCCAGGGTGCAGCCAGGAGGTGGACGGAGATGGGGGAAGGGAGGGCAGGGGGTCCTCCTGCCGCCTCGGGGTCGGGGGAGATCTGAGCGGTCCTCCAATTGAACCTAATCGGGCCCCATGTGGGAGCACTGGCTGTGGGGCTGGTCAGCTGGGCGGGGCTGGAGGGGGTTGGCTGGGGTGCCAGCTGTGTGTGTGAGGTTGCAATGAGCTGGTGCTGATGGCTCCTCCCACCAGGGACCACCCCCCCCCCCGCCCCCGTTAAGTGGTGAAGCCGCAGAACCCCACGTTGAGGGCAGGGTAGTCATCAGAGCTCCCTGTAGATCGCTGGTCGTCTGAGTTCAGGGACGGCAGGATTAGCATGAGCTGTGGCCACGGCGTAGCACGCGCACGAAGGTGTCCTCACAGTCCCCAGCCAGACGTCCGAGGGCCAGCTCGCTCTGGCTCGTCACCCCGCCCGCTGCCTGCTGCCCTGGCTTCCTCCGCTTCTGCTTGTCTGAGGACACTGAGCAGCGTTTGGGCTTGCCTCAGGTCATCCAGACGATCTCATAGCGAGATCCGTGACGTCACCAATCTGCAAAGGCCCTCCCCCCCGGTAACGTCACATGCACAGGTTGCCGGGGTGGGTGTGTGGGCACAGCTTGGTGGTGGTGGTGGGAAGTCCACACAGCACGCTGTGTAAGAAGGGTGATGGAGGCGGCGTAGGTTTGTCACCTCTTGCTCTCTGCCTGTCATCCATCTTTACTGCAAACAAGTGTTCCCGGCACAGGGTCTGGTGGTGCGTGGGGCAGGCGGCTGAGCAACAGCTAATGAACCAAAGTGTTCACTCTTGCACGCGACACCCGGCTGGGGGCACCCAGCTTAAGCTGCCAGCAGAGCTGGGAGGTGGCACCTGGGCATCTCAGGGCCACATTGCCTGCCGTTGGTCTTGGCCGTGCCACTTACCTGCTGTGCAGCCCTGCAGAAGTCACCTGAGCTCTCTGTGCCTCAGCTCTCTCATCTGTGAAATGGGCCTGTGATGGTGCGTGCCTCTGAGGTTTTGAAATGAGGATTAAATGCATATTTATGTGTGTGTGTGTGTACAAACATATTTGGATACTTCAAAAAGTTCATGGAAAAATGAAATGAAGAGATGCGTTTGTTTTGGTATGAGGAATTCTTGAAATCTGTGCGTAGGTTTTGCAGAATAAAATTTTCCACCAACTTTTTTGTTTTCTCATCTTTAAGAAGCGTGGAGACAGAGAGAGGCAGACAGACAGACAGAGCGCCTATCTGCTGGTTCACTCCCAGAAGCCGGCGGTGGCCGGAGTGGCTTGGGGGCCAAAGCTGGGAGCCTGGAAAACTGTTCAGGTCTCCTGCATGAGGGCGGGGACCCAATTCCTTGAGCCATCACCGATGTCTGCCAGGGTCTGTGTTAGCAGGAAGCTGAAGTCGGGAGTTGGAGCTGGGACTCGAACCCAGGAGCCCCAGTGCGGGAAATCGGCTTAACTGCTGGACCAATGCCGGCTCCTCCGTGAGCTTATGAAGACCTTTCATATGCATGCGTTTAAAGTTTTTTGTACTAAAATCAACTTCTTTAGATTCAATTTTTCACAAACTTTTAAGAGTCTTTCATTTTCTATGTAAAGTGCTAATAATGGTTCTTTTTCATAAAGAAAACATTTTGAAAGGCAGAGCGACAGAGAGAGGGACAGAAAGAGAGGTCTTCCATCCGCTGGTTCACTCACCAAATGGCCACAACAGCCAGGAGGAGCCAGGAGCTTCATCTGGGTCTCCCACGCGGGTGCAGGGGCCCAAGCACTTGGGCCATCTTCTGCTGCTTTCCCAGGTGCATTAGCAGGGAGCCGGATTGGAAGCAGAGCAGCTGGGACTTGAACCGGCGCCCGTATGGGATGCGGGTATCGCAAGCTTTACCCAGTGCGCCACAACGCGGGCCCCCAGTAGTGTCCTTGGCACTTAGAAAGTGCCAGGAGAAAAACAGAAGCACAGAAGAGCACACACTTGCGTTCTTGGTGCCTGCACTCAGCACTCCCGGGGGCTGGCGGCCTGTGTGTGGGCACAGGCCCATCTGCGAGGCTGCACAGTGAGTCGCTGGCCTGGGTCTTCCTGCCTGTCAGCCCTGGTCCTGGAGGGGGGCTTGGTCCAGGGCAGCTCCCCCTGTGCCGCAGTGAGGGGCCGTCTCGGGTGGGCGCAGTGGTAACAGCCCTGGCCCTGACCTCGGCCCCTGTGCTGAGTGCTGGGCTTGGCCGGGACAGGGAAGCCGACTGCCACCCGAGGCCACTCACGTCCCTTTGTTTGCCCTCACAGGCTGATGCTGCCACCAGCTTTCTGAGAGCAGCCAGATCAGGTAACTTGGACAAGGCCTTGGACCACCTGCGGAATGGGGTAGACGTGAACACCTGTAACCAGGTAAGCAGGACGGGGCGGGGCGTTGCCTCTGACACTGGCCTTTGCCTGGTGAGCTTGGAAACTTCCCCACTGAGCCTGTTTCCTAGTGGCTTCAGAAAGCCTGAATTCCGTGCTACCCTGCGGGCCCCTGCCGCTGTCTCGGGCTGTGCGGTCTTTGAGAGTGGGTAGCAGGAAAGACCTTTGAAGGCTGCTGTCGGGAGCCCTGGGGTCACCTTTGTTCCCCCGGGCGGCCTTTGTGGCTCAGGGCCGGGTGAGTTCCTGCGGCGCCGGCAGCTGGCTCCGGAGGGCTCCGGAGGGCTGTGGAGCGGAGCGGCCAGCGCTCGCTTCCAGGAGGGGCTGCTGGGGATGCGGGGGAGGGCAGAGGTGTGGGAACTTCCGCGGGGAAAGAAGAAAGAGCCCTGGAAGCGCCAGAGGTGTGGCTTGCGTTCGGAGGTTGGTGGCTTGCTATGTGGCTTTTGTCTGTCGGTGTTTGCCAGCCTGTACCAATTAGGACTGTGTTTCCCTCCTCGCCGCCTCTACTGTTCCAAAAACTGCTCCTCGTTGGAGTGACTATGAGGAGGAGGCCTTGCAAAGTTGGTGGGAAAACGGAACTAAATGAATGCAGGTTTTCCGTGAGCTTCTATTTTTTTAAAGATGTATTTATTTGTTTGAAAGGCAGAATTACAGAGAAAGAGAGAGAGACAGAGAGAGATCCTCCATCTGCTGGCTTACCCCCCGAAATGGCCACAATGGCCAGGGCTGGGCCGAGCCAAAGCCAGGAGTCAGGAGCTTGATCCGGGTCTCCCACATGGGTGCAGCGGCCCAAGCACTTGGGCCACCCTCCCCTGCTTTTCCCAGGCCATTAGCAGAGAGCTGGATCAGAAGTGGAGCAGCCAGGACTCGAACTGATGCCCGGAGGGGATGCTGGCGCTGCAGGCGGTGGCTTTACCCACTACGCCACAGCACGGCCGCCTCCCACAGCTTCTGAAGCCCCCGCAGCGCACAGCACATGCAGTGGAGTGTCGTGTCCGTTGTTACGTGTCCAGCTCTGGAGCACCAGGTGGTGCAGCCGCGGCCGCTGCCCGTCCCCAGAACTGCTCCTTGGCAAAGCCACAGCTCTGCCCGTGATCGGCAGCCCCTCACGGTCCCCACCCCTGATGGCCCGCCTTCCTTTGCCAGTCCCTGGATCTCAGCCTACATCCTCTCCTCCCTGCCCCGACTCAGTTTCAAGCGCCCAGCGCCAAGACTCCACTCAGATGCGGGTGGTTTCGTGGTGGCAGACCTTGGCAGCCAGAGGAGCAGAGAGGATGGAGGCGAGAGGAGGTGACAGGAGGCGGAAGGAAGTGTGCGATACGATGCAAAGCCCCTAGCGGTGACCTTCCCCGGGGCTGGGGGTGCCAACTGTGTGAGGAGCCCGCCTGCCCCCACCCCGCCCCTGCCCGCATCCCCCGCAGCCGGAAGTGCCAGCCCCAGCAGGATTCCGGCAGGCATCCAAGTGCTGGGCAGCAGGTGGAAACTCTGAACTTCCTTCTTTGGTGGTCAGAGGAGGAGGAGCAAAGTTTTGGGGCGCCGTCGTGTTAGCCCCGCCCCCACCCGCGCCCATGGGTAGGGGCTGCTCTGGCTGCTCTGGCACCCACAGATGCCAATGCCATGATTTTGGTTGGTGCTGGGGCTGCATCGCCCTGTGTGGGGGGCTGTCACAGGAGCCCGTTTTGCCAACATGGGGATGACAGAACGTTCCTAGGATTGCGCCCGGCGCACTTTCTGTGTGAGATTCGAAGGTTGGGGAGCGGCCTCGTCTCGCCTAGCCTCCCAGTGGCAAGACCTCGGCCTTCTCTCCCCATCACTGCTGGCTGCGCCCCAGGCCCGGATGACACTGGGCGCTGCTTTGCTGACACCATTGCCGGTGGGCTCAGCGCCAGTGACGAGTGCAGCGCCCCTGCTGGAGACAGCTGGGGCTGCAGGCTCTCTCAGAGAAACGCAGGTGTGAGAGGAAGGCGGGCAGGACAGGACGCATCACAGGGCAAGGCCACGGCTGCCGGCTTGTTCCTGTGGCTGCTTCATCCCCAGATCTTGGGCCCTGTTGATCCGTGCCTCGTGATCTGTGACTGCGCTGTGACAGGTAGCTGCAGATGGGGACTGTTCACAGCAGCCCGAGCCTCGTTCTGGTTCATAGGGCACTTCTGTAGGGTGCTTCTGATTGCATAGGGTGCTCTGGTTGTATAGGGTGCTTCTATAGGATGCTTCTGGTTGTATAGGGTGCTTCTATAGGGCACTTCTGGTTGTATAGGGTGCTTCTCGTTGCATAGGGTGCTTCTATAGGGTGCTTCTGGTTGTATAGGGCACTTCTATAGGATGCTTCTGGTTATATAGGGTACTTCTTATTGCATAGGGTGCTTCTATAGGATGCTTCTGGTGTATAGGGTGCCCCTACTTCTAGAGGGTGCTTATTGTTGTGTAGGGTGTTTCTATAGGGTGCCCCGGTTACATAGGGTACTTCTGGTTGCATAGGGTGCTTCTATAGTGTGCGTCTAGTTGTATAGGGTACTTCTATGGGGAGCTTACTGTTACATAGCTGTTTCTATGGGGCTCTTCTGGTTGCGTAGGGTGCTTCTGTAGGATGCTTCTGGTTGTATAAGGTGCCCTGAAGGGGAGAGTGGATCGAGGGCCGCAGTGGCCAAGCCCCTCCCTCCTCAGGCTGGGTGGCGCACCCTGGGACAACACTGCTTCTTTGCAGCCTCGCAGCGCTGGGCTCCTAATGGCACTGGCACGTCCCCTCCTCACAGCTGCCTGCACTGTGCTGAGATAAAACCAGGCTCTTGCCCCGGGGTCTCGGCTTCAGCCTTGGCTGTGTCCTGCAGCTCTGAGCGGATGGACTGTGGCAGGGGCGACGCAGCAAGTGCTCGTCCTTACATAAGCAGCATGCTCTCGGGGTGTGTGTTTTGTGGGGAAGAGCGTGCTGCTGGCCGTAATAGGAAGAAATGACTCTCCGTAGCGTGGAAAGGCGCACTGTGGGCTTATATAAGAGGCATCTGAATATTCAGGGCAGTTTCCCTGATACACGGCTAATGTCTGCTAATTTTCATCAGCATCGTCATCATTCGTTTAATAGGGAGGAAGACATCATAGCTAAGAGCACGCACACACACATGCGTGCACGAGCGTCTTTGCAGGAAAGCCGGTTCTCATTCTTGTTCCAGCGTCGCTCGTGCCTCAGACCCCCGCCTCCGGCGTCTTCCTGTCCGTCCCGCCTGTCTTGGGAGGGCTGGGCTGCAGGGTCGCGGCAGGAGAGAGAAAATGGCAGAGTCCTCATCCTCTCTGAGCCGCCGCCTGCCGGCAGCGACAGCTGCTAATCAGCTAATGCGCACCAAAGCCCAGTGTTAGGAACCGCGGAGGGCGGAAGGGAAGGCCTGGCGTGAGAGGCCTGGCCTGGGGTTGGAGGTCGGAGCACAACCATGCAAAGGCCAGGGGGCAGGGGACAGGGTGGCGCGTTCAGGGCGAGCCGGAGAGGAGGACTTCAGAGAGCAGGGAGGGAACAGATGAGACGCAGCGGGGCTGCGCTGGAACCTACAGACAGAGGTCAGAGCCACGACACCCGACAAGGACGGCGTGCAGCGTGCGTGCGTGTGTGCCTGAGTGTGTGCGCTCCAGCTATGCCAGACGTTAACCCCGTAGCTGCTTGTGGATAAGAGGGGACGTGGGGCAGGGGACAGAGTGGCCGGAGCAGCAGAGGTGAGAGGGAGGTACCGCCGGAGCCTGCAGCCGTGGCCGTGGGCCGGGGCGGGGGGGGGAGGTATTTGGCTGCTGAGCAACCTGCGCCACCGTATTAGTGCATCCTGGCCGAGCCTGCTGGTGGAGGCCAGATCACCTCGGATTCCCACACTGCGTCAGAGACGCGCGGGAGGCAGAGGGCCGCGGGGGCTGCGGGCAGTGGCGAGTGTGGGGGGCTCGCCCCGGGGTGCTGGCTGCGGAGCTGGAGCAGGAAAAGCTAGTCCTGATGATGGAGAGGGTGAGGATGGGGACTTTGGCCACGAGCCTTGGGCCTGGCTCTGGAGGCGGGAGTGTGGGAGAGGCCCACAGCCTCTGCGTGTGGGCAGGGTGAGGGGTCGGGTAGAGCTGGAAGGAGGCCCTGCTGAGGAGCCTGGGCCCGCGGGAACATTTCTCGGAGGCATCCGGATATCGGGGCCTGGAGTGCAGATGAGAGGTCCAGCCCACAGAGAGATAGTTGGACGCCACTCAGCATTCGAGGAAGTCAAATGCTGGCGCCGGCCGGCGGGGCAGGGTGAGTGGTGTGGTGAGGACCACCCGGGGGTCAGTGCACACGCATCTGTCACACGCCTGCCTTGTGCCCAGGAACGCTCCCAGCACTAAACAAGGCAGACAAGAGCCGAAAAAATGAACGCGCTCTGGGACATCAGCTGTCGGGAGGCTCCACGCAGGAGAAACAGGCAGAGGGGCCTCAGGAGGGCACGTCTGTGAGTGAGAACTCGCGGCTTCTGGGGAACAGCACCCCTGGGAGAGGGAAGTCTGTGCAAAGGTCCTGGGGCAGCAGTCAGCTTGGTTGCTTTGGTGAAGGGCTTTGTGGGCCCTGCTGGCGACTTGGAGGGTTTTGCCCGTGCGTGAGGATGGGGAGCCCCTGGAAGGTGTTACATAGAGGCACACTGTGGTGTTGGGGAAGTGCCCCAGCTGCTGTGTGGAGGACGCACTTGAGGCGCCACTGTGGGGAGATTGTGTGGGGGTTGCCGTGGTGAACCAGCTGTGGAGGTGGGGGCCCTGGGTGTGGTGACGTCAGCTCCTGTAGCTGTGGCATAGGCATGGCTCTCAGCCCAGCAGACGCTGTGTGTGTCCTGGTCCCCAGAGCATGAAGGAATCTCTGTTGAGGACAGCCCACCCGCGGTCCTGCCACACAGCACGGGCATGCGGTGGGGCGTCTTTGCTTTGTTTATGTATACTCCTTTATTTTCTCTTAAGATTTGTTTATTTATTTGAGAGGCAGAGTTACAGACAGTGAGAGGAGAGAC